GAGTTGGGAGAGGTCTCATTTTAACCAGAAATGTGCGGGCTACAATCATGCCTCATTAAGAACGGTTCGGGTTCTTTTTTGGGGTTTCTGAAAAACTCGTTTTCTAGAAAACCAGGTCTTCGAAGGGCTATGCGGAAGCCGCATGGTCGTATTCGCAATCAGCATGGTCGATAACCTATAACCCCCTAATATATAAACATAATTTATCACCCCCGAACCAGACCAGCCAACAGCAATAAATAAACCAACTTGATTGTAATTAAAAAATGCGTTTTGTATTTCGTCTTGATAACTGGTTCTATAATTTTCTGAAAAATCAAATTGTAAAACTATTGATGTTTTATTAACATCAGGTTTACATTCTTGAAAATGTAAATATTGAATACTTGTAACAAAACTATGCATTAGAAATTGTTTTGTTTTATTTTTTAAATTTTTAATTGCATCTTGTACTGTACCTGGCTTTTCTATTTTCACCATTCTTGATTCATCTGTCTCCCATTGAAAATAAGATAAATCTTCCCCACCATCATCATCGTTACATTCAAATAATGAATCAAATTTTTTCAAATTACCACATTTTTTACATGTTGAACCCATACATTTTTTTAGAATGATGAAAGAAGCCCAGATGCTTGCTTCATTAACAAATAATTATTTGTTTATGAAGCATCTGAGAGAGGCTAGGAAAGGCCTATGGGCACAACGACTATCATATTCGTAATCAGCACCCTCGATTACATATAAATAGCAGGATTTGAATAAAATCCGAGTTGGACACTTGGAAATGTTCCCTCGTTAGATTTAAAGATTTAAAAAATTTTAATTTTATTGTCAGGACAAAAGGAGACAATTAAATACAAATGGGCTGAAATTTGGAGCATATGTTGGGGCTGAAGTGCGAAGGCTATGGTAAAATTTTCAGCTCGATACCTTGACATTTGACAGAGATATGAGCAAAACACGGGTCAAAAATAGGTCATCTTATCTCCAAAAAATCTCCAT